AAAGGAGGGGACAGGGTGGGAGTAGGAAGAGGGGGGGGGTCGAGGCCTGTGGACAAAAGGTTTTTTAAAAAAAACTATTGTTGGAGCAACTGGAACTTTAATTCACTGTTGGGAGCACTATAAATTGGTATATACACTTTGGAAAACTGGCAGTATGTATTGGAGCTAAACATGTGCATACTCAGACTCTTGGACATACACTCAACTGAAATGCCTGTACATATGCTCACCAAAAGACACATACCATTATGTTCACAGAGCAATATTCTTGATAGCCCCAAACTAGAAAGTATCTAAATTTCCACCAATGGTAGAATAAATAAAAAAACGACAAAATTCACAAATGCTATACAGCAATGAGAATGAAATACAAACTACCTAAATAATATGGATGATCTTAGACAAACTAAATGTTAAGCAAAATAAATCACACACAAAAAAAGTACACACTGGGGCCGGCCCGGTGGCGCACTGGATAAGTGCGCCGCTTGGGAAGCGCGGCGGCGCTCCCGCCCGAGGGTTCGGATCCCACATACAGACCGGTTCCCGCTCCATAAAAAGTTCAAAAACAGGCAGAATCAATTTATGATCAGGGGAGTGGTTACCCTTGGAGGGTGAGTAGTGATTAGGGGCATTTGGCAGATTTCTAGGGTGCTGGCAATGTTGTTTTCTTGTTCTGAATGCTGGTTACATAGCATATCTAATTTGTGAAAATTCATTGAGCTATTCTATTCAGTGTTCAACTCAGTGTTGGTGTATTATACCTTAATAAAAGTGAAAAAAATACAAAAATTATGGAACAAAACTTTAAACTGATAATTTTGTTCACTGCCCTAATTCATCTAAAAAAGATTTAAGAAATTTAATATTAACTTAAAGTGTTTCCCTACACTGAGACAAAGCTAATGTTTTTTTTTTTTTTTTTTACAGACATACAAATACCTCAGTCAAGGAGAGTACTGTTGGGAAATACTGTTTTTGAATGTAAGCTCCAAAAGGACAAATACTGAAGCTGTTTACTATGGCTTCCTTGGCATGGTACCTGACAAAGAATTAATTGAATTAACCAGGAATTAAATGACCTTTCATTAAAAAAATATTTAGTGTACTCTTACAATCTGCCAGTCAAAAGCACAAAAGCAGTAATACCTTCTGAGAAATTTTTTGCATTTGATAGTAAGCTACCTACAGAGTAATGTCATTCCACTTCTCAATGAATTCACATGTATAAATAAGGAAGCAGGATTTAAAGACAGGTTTCTTTTTTTTTTTCCTTTTTATCTTTTTTACTGACCGGTAACGGGATCGCAACCCTCGGTGTCGCGCCTGAACTGGGGACTGGCAACGGTATCGCTACCCTCGGTGTTGCGCCCACACTGCGCTCAGCCAGTGAGCGGGAACCGGTCTCCACATGGGATCCGAACCTTCGGTGGGAGCGCCGCAGCGCTCCCAAGCGGCGCACTCTCCAGTGTGCCACCGGGCCGGCCCTAAAGACAGGTTTCTTGAGTCACAGAGATCAACGCATGGAAATACGACCAAAGTAATTTTCCAATGACTTTGCCTAACAAGCTTCATCTTGAACACCACTTTTCCCAAAAATGAATATACAGTCTAGTTAAAGATGAGTGCAATCCCACAGTAATTTGAAGCTACTCGCAATATTTTCTTTTAAGATAGAGAGGGAGCATGGAATTTGGGAAACACTTTTAACTACCGTGGAGTGGTAAAGGGCTATCCAAAATTTATTACTTCATCAAAATCCTGGATATACTAAAAATTTTGAAAAACTCAAAAAAAGGCCCTCCTTAATTATTGTGATACACTATTACACATACATGTACAAGCTATTGTAAAGTTAAATTTTATTGGCCTATTTGATAGTCAAATTAGAAATGTTCAAAAGCAAAGTTAAACTCCATCTCTGACTAAAAGAGAAAAACAGAGAATTAATGAGTCTTCAATTACCTGTGCTAATTCTGCGCAAGAAGATTCTCATAAATTACAGTATAGGTACATTTTAAAACTAATTATATTTAGTTCTAAAAATACGTCTTAGATAGTTTTTGGAGCTATTTTACCTTAATGTAACACTTCTTAAAGTAATGATAAGATGAGCTCACATGCTCTGAGCTCTGAATTCAGTGCCTAGCTGACCCTTCCTGTGTCTAGGCTCCCGGCCTGGAGGTTGTGGGCAAGACTGAGGTGAGTATGACGATCCCTGTCCTCAAGGAGCTTCAGTCTAGTAGGGGATGGGACATACTAGACTGTGAGCTCCTCGAGGGCAGGAAAAGTGTTTAGTCATCTTTGCCCCAGTGACTAGCACCAGGCTCAACAGTGTTTGTCGAACTGAATTGAACGCGGAGGCAGCTATCCGTGGCAGCGTAGGGTCAGAACAAGAACAAGGAGCTCTGGAGACTCAGAGGGCAAAGGTCTGTCAGCTGTGTAGTCACGGAAGAGCCAGCATGAGAAAGAAGCAGAGACAGATGGGTTGGATCTCCCCAGGAGGGAAGGAGGCACTTCAGGCCGAGGGCTGGGTTAGTTTGGCTGCAGTATGTGAAAGGGAAAGGAAGATGCTCTCAGGCCACGATGGAAGAAGGCCTAGATGCTCCATGGAAGCTTCTACCCAAAAACGTGAGAGGTAAAAGGACCCATGGAAAGTTGTTCTGAGCAGGGGAGTTACTTTCCCATGGTGATACCTCAGGAAGACTGACTAAGCCAGTTATGGCAGACAGATGGGAAAGGAGCCTGGATGGGTGGGCTAGGAATAAAGTGCGATTCTAGAATGGAGATGAAGACAAACGCTCCATTCTAACCTGTGAGGTAGAAGAGCTGGCCAAAAGAAGGTAACGGCTTTGCTTTTTGCATAAACATGATGTCCAGCTGGCAACTTAAAATGTAGGTTTGGGACTTGTGAGAAAAGAGCAGGAGCAAACCTACAGACAGACAGAGGGGAAGCAGAGCCACATGAATGGGTGAGAATATTCAAGAAGAGAACTAGAGAACACAGGAGGCTGAGAAATTTGGTTAAAGCTCAGAGTAATGAAAAGGAACAGCAAGTTAGTGAGGCAAAGGAGATTCCAGGGAGGTAGGGTGATGGAAGCAGCATCAGAGAGGGAGAAATGTCAAGGACAGCATCTGTCCAATTGTGAGGAAAGATCAAGGAGGAACAAAAAAATTTATGAGCAAAACATGAAACAAAGCATGTTCAAAAGCCAGCTTTAATAGTGAGAGAATATGTAATTGCGTTCTAAGAGAATTAAATAATAAACTGGAAATTTTCAGATTGAAGACAACTGAGAAGAGACAAGAAAGGGGTCTAGAAACAGTGGAAGGCCTATTGCGTGAAAGGAAGAAGAGAGTTGTCCTATGGGGCCCAGAAAGTGGAACCACACCAGTGGGTTAGAGTTCCAGGAACCAAGAGTGTGGCTGGTCTTTTCGAGCCCATCCTCACATGTTGTGAATAACTGGTGATGCCACAGTCTCCTCCACCAGATTTTAAACTCTGTGGAGGCAGGGACTGGATTTTACCCACTGGTAACGCACAGAGCCTAGCTTAGAACAATGATGCTGCTGAGCGAACATATGCTGACTGCATGAACCTTTTACACTTGACCCATGGGTCCTCACTCTTCCTTGAAACGTCCTCGTTTTACCCACTGGTAACGCACAGAGCCTAGCTTAGAACAATGATGCTGCTGAGCGAACATACGCTGACTGCATGAACCTTTTACACTTGACCCATGGGTCCTCACTCTTCCTTGAAACGTCCTCATTTTCAGGAATCTTGTCTAGTAGGGTGAGCTGCCTGAAGACGCTGTGAGGCTGACAGCATGTTCAGCACTGGGTGAGAAGGTTGGGCCAGATGAGCTTTCAGGGTCTTCTGGACCCCGATACTTGGTGATTTTTATGAAAAAGACTAACATACAGCAAGAAAAAAAAGAAAAAAAAAAAAAACCTCATAAAATTGGGGAAGTATCTTAAATGTGAAAATAGGTGATATAGCACACACTGAACCACAATGTTGTTTATGTAATTAAGCTCCTCATGCCTATGTATTATATTAAAACATTTACTGAAGTGTTAAGTCTCAATCTAGATTCGAATTCAATTTAACAAATGTTTATTGAGCACTTATGTGGTGCCAGGTCCTAAGCTTGGCACTGGGACTTCAGAAATGAGTAAGACACAGTGATGCCTGTCAAGAGGCTCGAGTCCAGCCAGGGACACAGAGAGCAGGCGAGACCCTCTCTAGGCCAGGTAATAGTAGACTCTACAGACACGCTTCTCTGAGGGATTCGGCACACCAAATGGTCTCTGTGTGTTCCCTCCAGGAGACCTGGAGCTACTGGAGGTTTGGGGTCTAACAGTGCCTGGCACAAAGCAGGAGCCACAAAATAAAATGGCACCTGAACAAGCAATGGATGTTTTACATAGAACAGAAGTATTCAAAAGGTGCCAAAGAAGTGGCTATCTCTTTGGGGATAGGGTTGATTAGGCAAGTTTCCTGAGTGAGGTAATACCTAAGCTGGATCCTGAAAACTGAATAAGAGTTTATCAGGTGGGAAATGTGAGGAAAGGCATTTCTGGGAGAGAAAAATAACATGTGAAAAGGCAGTGAGCTATGCTAGGAGGATTATTAGTAGTTAGGTATTGCTGGAGCATAAAGTATAAGGGAGATGAAAGGGCTGTGTGAGATGAGACTGGAGAGGTAGAGAGGAACTAAATTATTACTGGTCTTATAAGCCATGCTAAGTCACAAGCTAGGGGAGAGAGATGTGATCATAATTTCAACTTTATAAAGATTTTTAAGTTATAATTTATGCAAGATTCTAGCAAGATACAAAGAAACATAAGTCAATGTAAAAGTAATTTTGTTTGTATAAGAAATAGTTCAGCCTTAGACGTACTGATAAAATGACCTTAAAATGCAATTATACTGCAAAGGAGGAGAAGCAGAATAATCTGCCCCCACCCCAGGCCCTCTCCACCCCCGCTCCTACCTGAGCTGAGCTTTAAGTTCAGTAAACCTGGGCCGCCTGCTGGGGTCATAGGCCCAGCATTTCGTCATAAGGCTGTAGAGGGTAGGAGGACAATTTGGAGGCATTGGTAATCTCTCCCCATTTTCAATTCGACCAATCACATCATTGTTCTTCACTCCTTGAAAAGGCTTCACACCATGCATCAGTATCTCCCACATACATACACCTGTGAAGTGGGAATGAAAACACAACAGTGAACTCAGCTCCAAGAGGGCGACTCTCAGGTTTCAGGAACAATATCATAGTTGGTACTAAAGTACCAGCTGAGAGAGAACCAAAGCAGCATTCAGTTAACTCTATCATAAAACAAAAACAGCAATGATAATTTGATATGATGTGAATAATGAAATACTGAATTATTATCAAGGAAAAAGTCATAATTTTTCCTGGAGGTTTATTTCTCTGAAAACCCTATATGAGAAAAATGGCCCACCAGCTACAGTGATATTTCATGGCTTAATGAACCAGTTCAAAAAAAGTTTAACGAATTTTAGATTTTCCCTCCACTTTGGTCTAACTTGCTTGTAATTATAGCAGCTAACTTGAGGCCTAACAAAGAAAATCCTAAAATTTAACTCTTAACATATTTTAAACATTTCTTAAAATGTTTCCCTTAATGAGGTTGCCTAGGGTGCATATGGCATTATTATCTGGTTTATCTATTAATCAGTCACTGTTTGCCTACAGGAAAAGCTGTGGACTTCTTTGGACTGTAGTGATCTTGTCCACAAATGTCACAACACAACCTCAAAAAGTTTTCTTGCACTCTACTCTTGGGAAATTAAATACTTTCTCAATATCTTCTGAACAATCCTTAAGAATTTACCTTTAAGACAAACAAAAAACCCTAAAACTGAGAACAATGACTATGTAATGCAATGAAAAGGAAGCCAAGAAAGAAGGCTGGCATCAACGGTGGCTGCTTTCTCCCAGCATCTTATAATCACTACTCTGTACTTTGGCCATCTGGACTTCTTGCCACCTTCTGAACATGCCACAAACATACCTTTGCTTGCCTTACATTCTCTATGTTTAGTGCCCTTTTCTTTTTCACCAACCCTCCTCTTTTTTTTTTTTTTTTTTTTTAAAGATGACCGGTAAGGGGATCTTAACCCTTTTAACCCTTGACTTGGTGTTGTCAGCACCACGCTCACCCAGTGAGCAACCGGCCATCCCTATATGGGATCCGAACCCGTGGCCTTGGTGTTATCAGCACCGCACTCTCCCGAGTGAGCCACAGGCC